TTGTAGTATACAACATATTGCTAGGCTAATGAATGCACAGACAAAAACAAAGAGGGTCGGGCAAGGTTTAACCTTGTCGGGCAAGGCTGATCGTCTTGCAAGAGGTTTGAAGGCTTAGAAAAAGGGTAGTGATGTGAGTTTACAGGAGGAATCGATACTACAGCAAGAGTTGAGCAGGGTAGCAGAGCTATTACAAAAGGTTTATCCCGAAAGGGATGAAGGCTTGGGTTGACTACAGCTTCGTTTTGAAGGCAAATCTGGCTTTGAGCAGAGTTTGTGCTTGTATTTGTTTGTTTGAGTGTCCTTGATTCTGACCTCTCATGTTCATTTTATAGACACCTTGGCTTGGCATCCTGTAGCAACAATCTTGCCCGAATGCAATTTGAAGGGTAGTGAATCATCAGCTATTTTACTTGTACTGCCATCTAAAAGTACTTTTTGGGCTGTATAGCTGGCTGGTCTACACCACTTGACCTGCACCTAGTCGGGAAAAAGCCTTCCCTGTTTTCTGGTTTTGGGCTAACTTCGGGCTTTTCCTTCTCTTTTTGGGCCAACTTTCCCCCAAGCCCAAAATTTAAGTTTTAACCCAAACAGTGCCCCCTTCAATCAATATTCAGATTGGAATTCCAGGCGCCAATATTGATTGAATAGGTCCCTATTAATACCCACGTTTTTCATTCTCGGGATTTGCACATTTTTTCAAAAGCAACCACCGCCTCTCTTTGGTTTAAGCCCATCATTTCCTGAATCTCCTGCATTCTTCTCATCTCCGTGGTCGAAAACTTCCTAACCCTCCAGCCGCTTCTTCCTTTCAAACTTCATCAAAAATGGCATCAGGATCCAGCCAAATCCATTTATCATATGAATCTGGCGAAGGTATCGCCACTTTGCGCCGTTTACTCAACGGCCTGCATTGCCCTCGGGCAGGTTTGTATTATGAACTTTTCTTTGAAGTTCATGGAGTACAATCGTTGGGTCTTGCATGGATTTCTCGGGTCCCTGCAGTGATAGAGGACAATATGCCCAAGGATAATTGGTTCTCTCCCAATCCCTATTTGGCTAAGTCGGGCATTTCCTCATCTAAGTGGTCGTCATATCGCCGAGGCTTTCCATTGATGAACGATCCGGCTTGGGTCCAATGGATTGACGAACTAGAGCCAATTTTCAAGAAGAAATGGATGAACAATGGCATTTATGAGTTGATAATGCTCTAAAAAACCACCATTATTCCTAAGCCCAAACTGCTTGTTTCCTCTCTTCTTTTCTGGAACTCGGGCACAAACGCTTTTGACTTTCGCATAGGTCCCATGTCTCCGACTATTCTAGATATGGCTCAAGTCTTCGGGCTAAGGCCATCGGGCAGGATAGTAGACGTTATTCAAGACTGGGCTCTCCCCTCGATTGCTGAAAGCTCAGGTTTATCCGCATCCTTCCTCTCCCTGGAATATAACTCTGCAACCTTCAAGAGTTATGAGACCTCGTTCAAGGGATTCATCCCTTTTGTAAAAGAAAACTTTAGAGCAAGTTCTTCCCGTGCTGATAGAGATCAAGAGCACATGTACTTCCTTCTGTACTGGCTCAACAAACACATCTTCCCCAACAAATCTAAAGGGATGAAGGTTGAATGGATCCCCTTGGTGGAAGCTCTTCATAACTTCGACGATGTGGCAACAGGTCCATTCCTTCTTTCTCATCTTTACCATCTTCTTTTCGAAATGACTCAAGGTGAGCCATTTGAGACTAACCTGAATGGACCCATATGGATGATACAAACATGGCTCCAATGGTATTTTCCAAAGTTTCGGGCTGCCAACTTAGAGTTCCCAGAAGGTGTAGCCCCTGCTCGAATCCTAGCCGAAGCTGCTCCTACTGATCACTCCACTTTCGCCTGTTTTTATTTCTTTAAGGTTTGTAGGACTCGATCAGACCTGGAATGGGGTGCATCAGTATTGAGAAGATATCCTTGGTTCTCTGACCAAGCCTTTCAAGATGCTCCTGGGGAAGATGCCACTTCTTCTTGTAGGGAAAAATTTATTAGTTGCATTCAATCAAGAGATATGGTTTGGGGAGTTTCGGGGCAATCGGTATGATCGAGGGCTGGAGGTGTATCATCCCAATTTTTGCAGCAGGCAATTAGGCTTTAGGCAAGCCATCCCTATCCCATTATTTGACTCCGTTCATTGTGGCACTTCCTTTCGTTTAGCATCTCCCTCTGAGGCGACCTTTAGAGCTGCCCGACGCAGTCTTGAAGTTATGAGTCAGGCTGCCCGAAAGTCCATCATCCTCAATTTTGAATGTACTTCACTCTTCTCTTCTTGGTGGGAAGGCAAATGGACCAAGAAATATGGAGGAAACTTGAGAGAAACTCATGATCGCTTGTTTGGTCAACTTTCTCTTTAAATCATACCCTAGTTCGGGCGAACTTGAAAATTGGAAGGAGATGATTCAAGAGAAGAATCGAGTTCTTCTGATAGGTATCTTTTTCTTCTTATCTTGATATATAATCCTTCCCTTAAACTCTTTTAACTTTTCCTTTCTTAACCCTGCAGCCCAAGTGGATGTGGAATCAGTTCCTACTGAGTCTGAGGATGACTCGGCTGATGCAGCAGTTCTTCATGGAGTTGCGGCAGAGGCCGAGAGGCGAGAAGCTGAAGAAGGTGGGGAAGTTTCAGAAGATTCAGGAGCTGAAAAAGAAGCGCCTGAAGCTACCATCCAAGTGTCCAAGCAAAGGAAAACAGTTGTGATTGAGAACTCAAATTCTAATCATGCATCTCCCCCAAGACTAAACGACGAATTCCTACTCCTACTAGAAAGAGTAAGAGAACCAGAACCGTCCAAACTATCAAGTCTTCAGACCCACCTGCTCCAATTGTTGAGGCGGGCAGAAAGAAGCAAAAATCTTCAAGTGAGCTGTGTTCCCTTCAGTTAGGCTGTCATCCTTATTCTTTATCTAGTTACACATGTCTTTCTTGAACATAGGACCTCAAACATCAAAGAAACCAACCATCGCCTCCAAGGATGAACCCTTATGAGCTGCAATGTATAAAAAGGCTGAAGAATTGAGAAACCTCACCCTTAAAGAACTTGAGGTACAGTCTACTTTTATGTTCGCATAGTTTTTCCTGCTTTCATAAAAACCCTAAGCATGGTTACTTGGGTCAGGCTGTAAGACACAAAAAGCTCCATTCACCCGAGGTCTCTTCATCACTTGCTCAAGAAACAAACCTCTCCCCCTCCCGGGTTGATCCTTAAGAGGTATAATCCATTTCTTAAACATTAAGTAACTTTATGATTTTTGGGAGTAATGCTTTGATCTTTTTCTTTCTTCTGCCTTTATCCAGGTCGGGGTATCTGCCCCCTTGCCTAGTCAAGGTTCTCCTTTGATTTCTCCTTCTGTCTTGGAGGCAACTCCACCTTCTCAATTTGATCCATCCACGGGAGTGATGTTGCACTTCGTGGATGAAGATAGTGATTTGGTGAGTAACCACCCTTACAGTGAATTCCACACATTGTTTCGATATTCACTTCTGTTTATCTCTTCCTCAGCCTCCTTCAATACAAAATCCATCAATGGCAACAAGAGTAAGTGACGAACCCATAGTCCCTGAGATTCCTGTCACTTTAGAAGCAACTACTCTGCAGGTATTTGCCTGCCCGACAGTTACCCTTGATAAACCTCCTTCATCCCCTCAGGGTCGAACTTTGGTAAGGAGATATTTCCTTCCTGTAACTCTTACTATCTGCTTGTTAACCATTACTGCCCTTCCTGTGTGCTTCCAGGGTATTAGTGAAGGTGTAGGCGCAATTTCTTCTTCCCCTGTCAGTGGTAGGGAATCTTCCCCTCAAGCAGGAATCAGTACTCTTCCTTGTGAGACTCCAAGCTTTAGTCAGGTACATTTCTCCCCCCCCCAAACTTTCCTTCATTCTAAATTGTCTTTTTAACAATATGATTTTCTTTTGGTCTTTGCAGCATGTTCCTGAAGAAACTTCTCCTCCTCATTTGGTTCGTAAACCAAAGCTCCCCCAACCTCATTTGGCTATTGGGAGTGCTGAGATGATTCATCCTGGCATGGAGAAGGCCGGAGAGCTAAGAACTGCCCCATCAGTAGGCGCTGCTTCATTAGAGAAAACTGGAGTGCAAAGTCCCCCTCCTGTTTCGCTGGCTTCAAAAACTGCTAAGTTGCCCGAACTGTTTGAAAAATTCGGGCAGCTTGAGACAAAGCTGAAATCCTCGAAGCATTCTTCTCCTTCAGGTTTCTCAGAGCAGAAGCGAGTTTTCCAAGAATGGGCAAAGAAGGATTTCTCCGCTTCATTTAGCCTTAAGGCCCTTCATGATCTGGAAAAGGTTACAAATGAGTTTTTCAAAGCCGGCCAACTGTCAAAAACCCAACATGATTCATTCTTCTCCTTTTTGAAAATCTGAGGGCTCTACGGGATCAACATAAGAGGGCAGAAAGACAAGCCAATCGAGTAAGATGTTTTCAGGAGAAGGAATCAAGCACTTCTGCTCAGGTAGACAAGTTGATGAATGATGGTTCATTAACGAAAGAAAGAATTGGAGTGGTGACTGCTGAAATCCAAAAACTAGAAGAACAATTGGTTATTCTCAAGGCTGAGCAAGCAACTCTTCTGGACACCCTCGAAAATCAAATCGAAGAAGTGAAGAAGACAAACTCGGAGTTGGAGCATTCTAGATCTCAGCTTGCAAATAGCCACACCATCTTGGCCGAACCTAATCGGATTTTTACAATTATGCAGACATATCACTCCCAAATAATCACCCTGAGTGAAGATGTAAAATTATTAGATTAGGATGATCACTTGTAACTTTTTCATATTGGAATGAACATGTACTTGTCTTTTGGCCCTATCCAAACTTTTTTCGAGCAACTCTTTGCCCCCTTGTTTACTTTCTTCTTTATTTGAGCGAGAATGTTGCGATGACCCGAGATCCACCTTTCCTCTTTGTTGTACCCGTCGATGACACTGGCTTCTTTCATCTAAATCAGCTGGATCGCGTTGATAGGAGCTTCTGGGAAAGGATTTGTATCAACCATCATACTGGCTTGTGGCTTGTCAAGTAACAACTTTCCCTTCACTATAAGGTCCTGTACCCAGTCTTTGAACTGGACACAATTAGTTATAGAATGGTTGAAGGTATAGTGTAACTTGCAATATTTTTTTCCCCTCAACTCTTCTGGTTTGGGCATCTTCTTCGTACTGTCAGGTACAATCACTCTTGCCCACACCAGCTCCTCATAGATCTCAGGCGCTTTGGCCAGATCAAATGAATAGCTCTGATATTTGGGAGGTTTCATCGGGACAAAGCCTCCATCGTTCATCACGATCTTCTGGTCCTTGACAGGCTGAACTAATCCTTTTACCGTCAGGGGTTTGAAAGGCGTAGTCATCTCAGCAGCACACACCTCGATCTCCTCTCTATCATAATCGTCCTCTTGCTCTGGCTCAAGTTCTCCCACCTTCACATGATGAATTGTAGCTTTGTTTTTGTAGAAAGGAGGAATTTTGGACGTATGCTTCACTTGTTGTTCTTCTAGCAGCAGCCTTTCATATCTTGTGGCAGCAATGACTAACTCCTGTAGCTCATTAAATTGTGTATCATAAAAACCTCTTTCTCAAAGGCAATTTCAGAGCTCTTTGAGCAATCGATATGAGCTGAGCTTGGCTAACAGGGAATTGGCACCTCATCCTTGCTTTCCTGAACCTCATCATGAAGTCCTCTGTGGACTCATGCTCGTACTGTTTGACTTCAACTAGATCATTAATAGTCATTTCTGGTTCTATTCTGTAAAATTATTCATGGAAAGCCATCTCCATTTGCCCCCAGTTGGCAATAGAGTTAGGGGGTAATAGAGGATACCACTGGGATGCAAGCCCCGCCAATGAATTCCCAAACAACCTTAACTTGTAGTTCGGGTTGTCTTCATACGCCACCCAGTGATTAGAGAACTTGAAAATGTGATCTCTAGAGGACATACTGCTGTCCTCACCCGTGAATGTTGGGAATGCGGGCATCTTGAAGTTGGGAGGAAATGGATTATATTCATCGATGTATTCAGGATAAGGCTTTTGATAAGTAATCCTGAACGTTGGGCGAGCTCAGGGTTGAGCATTTTGGACTACTGCCCTCCTCAATTCGACCAACTCATCTCTCAGTTGTTGACTAGCTATATTATTCTGGAAAATAAGGGCGGACTCGTCCTTCGGGCTTCGGTCATTGCCAATGAATGCTTCTTTCTTCGACTCAGGCTTTCTCCAGTTGGTTCCCCCTCCTTTATGGGCCAACGGTGGTGGCCTATAAGGAAGAGGTTTGTCCGGAGCTGCAGAGCTTTCTTTTTGGCTTGACTCTCCTGTTATTATGGGCATCCCATACTTTGTCCTCTCTTGCTCGCTTTGCTTCCTGTTGTTAAATGTTAACAACGGGAAGCTAGGAAACTCTTTTTCCAGGACCGGCTCTATCACGGGTTGACTTCCTTCAGGAACTGCTTTTTTCTTTCCTCTATCTGTTTCTTCCTCCAATAGTGGAAATAGGGGAATAACTGGCTCACTTCTGATGGTACCCTGGCTCACCCCACTTCCTTGAGCGCTTTTTGGAGTGGAGAACTCCAGATCGAGCATTCTCTGTAAATTACCTGTCAAGGTACATAGTCTACTGACCTCCCCATTTGTCTCCAAAGAGATCTTTTCCATGCTCCTCAACACTTGTATCATAGTGGCCTGTAATTCCTCATGGGTTCATTTTCCTTCTGACTTTCCGGATGAGGATGGGCTTTCTAGGACCACCCGTCCTGATGGGAAGAAGGATTGCCTGATTGGTCTGTCATTGGTGGCAAAGTTGAGAAGAATCGCTCTTCGTTTTCTTTTCACAAAGTGTATGGCTTTTCTTACTGGGCATGCAAGATTTACACAAAAGAGTGATCCCACCGGGCGTGCCAAAACTATGTTCGTTGTGGAAATTTCCCGTGGGGAATGCTTCCTGTCCGACGAGCACACAGCTCCCCGATAGGTTTGGGGCCGGTTGATGCTTTTCTGTCGGGCTCCTGCTTTACTGGCGGGCTTGTCGGGCAAGGCTGAAAGAGAAGGACATAGTTAACTTTGAAAGGTGCCTTCGTGAGGCCTTAGGTGTAGGCCTTGAGGCTCACGATCAAGATTAACTTATAAGTGTTCAGGCGTGCTACTGCCATCTTCAGTATGGCAGATGTAGAACGGATGTTTGAGTTTAATTATATATTCGACAGACTATGTTAGTTATTGACAGGTGCCTTTGTGGGGCCTTAGGTATAGGCCTTGAGGCTTCCCATAAATAACTAACTTAGTATTTGAACATGTTTATACCATATTTAGGGCCTCGTATTTAGATCTCGTACAAATACTCAGGGGACTTAAATGTAATTATGGGATAAAGGAAGGGGCAAATATGTAATAAGTGAGGAGTCCTTATTCTATAAAAGGACCCCTCACCCTCACAATTAGGAAGAGGCCTCACTCTCACTCTCAGAGGCCATTTCTGAAGCCTCTCACCCCCTCTCAAAGCTTCCTCACACCCCCTAAGCTCTAAGCTCTCTCTCTCCCTCTTCAACAGAGAAATATAATACAATCAGTGTGGACGTAGCCCAAACCTTGGGGTGAACCACGATAACTCTTGTGTCATTTACATTTCTTGCAGATTCACGGTCGGATTTACGTTGTTCCAAGACCATCCGGTTTTGTGCATCAACATTTGGCGCCGTCTGTGGGAAACGATACGAAAAGTTGTGTCGGTTCCCTCTCAATTTTTCATCTCCACTGTGGATCTGCAAAAACCTAGGAACCAAAACAAAAAAGAAACACCAAACCAAAAAGCCCAGTCCCATTTCTCTATCTCTCTATAATTACACACAGTTCCAAGTTCCAACAGTCCTACCAAATCTCCATCGCCAAAATATCTTCCCTGAATCCAAAAGCAAAGCTCAAAGACCTGAGCTTTCTCAGCTGATCCAATCCCTTAACCCGAACCCGGAAACCCATTGCGAAACATCAACCAATTTCCAAAAAGGTTTCGATGTTAAAACCGCCATACCCAATTGCTCCAGTGAGCATCGTGGTCCTCGCGACACATCTACAAAACCTAAAAGCCTCCAACTAACTCTGGGTGGTCTCGCTTCCCCGACGACGATTGCGGTGAGAATCCCGTCGTAGAATGTCTCTGCGTCTATATCGGCTTTGTCAGACTCGAAGACAACGATGCTCTCGCCTTTGGAGAGGACGTCGCCCTCAGATTTGACCCAGGAGACGATCTTTCCCTCGGTCACAATAAAGCTGAGAGCAGGCATAAAGATCTCCCTGATCTCTCTCATTCCGACAAACTGGATTGATTCCCACCCCGCGATGACCTCAGATCTATCCCGAGCCCTGTCAAACTTTCCAGCGCAAGCATGTAAGACGTTGCCATGAGGCTCCAGCATGTAAGACGTCGCTGACGTCGTCGCTAGGAAGCTCCAGCGCAAGTGCCAGGTGGCCGGGACCGGAGGTCAGTGGTTTGCGGAGGTCAGTGGTATGCGGAGGTCAATGGTCTGCTATTAATGACGATTTGAGAAGCAGCAGGAGTCTAGCGCTGAGCCTGGGTTTGGGGTTGGGTCAACAGTGGAGGATAGGCCTTCTACTGATTTGGTTGATGGCGCAAAGGAAGAAAATAGAGGTGGTCAGAAGCACAAGCAACCAAAGAGCAGGCAGGAACTTCGAGTACTTCGCTGAGAACCCCGTCTCAAAGCAAAAAGAAAAAGAAAAATGGAAAGATCAATATCTTTTCGGGTTTTAGCTGCAATGGATCTTGTTCAGATAAGAAATCATTATCAACGGGAACCTGAAATTTGCCCAGTACTTAAGTTTGCCCGTGGAGTTTAAACCTGAAGTGCCCAGTAACAGAACACGTGAATCTGAACATGCTTTTGACCACGATAGCAAATGGTCATTGAGGTGGGGTTCTGAGGACAAAGAAATGGAGTGGGAGGCCACGTTCTTTACGTTATTTACATTTTTTACAGCTGGAGTACACCAGCTTGTGTTCAAACAGCAGAAACCAGGCCGAAAGAGAAAGGCAGTGGCGGACAAAGCAAAAGGAAAAGAGAAAGAAAAGGGAAAGTAAAAGCAAAAGCAAGTGAGTATGTCTGGAAGTGGAGAGATCAAGGAGGGAACATAAAAGAAAAAGGGAGAATCATGGGGAACACATGGTGGGCAACACAAAAAGAGAAGAGAAAAAGGAAGGCTCCCTCGGGAGCACATAGCAAAGCTAAAAAAGAGAAGAAAAGCAGAAAAGCAGAAAAAGCAATGGGGAACAAAGCAGAAAAGAGAAAACAAAGAAAATGCAGCAGAAAAACACTGCAAAAAACAAGGAATAAATACCCCATCAGAGGGTAATATGTATAAACCCCATCAGAGGGTAATATGTATAAACCCAAAAAAAAAAAAAAAAAAAAAAAAAAAAAAAAACGGCAAAGCCCAAAGTAAATGGGCTGGAATGTTGTGTAGAGGGCGAAAACCCATAAACCCAAAATAGCTCCAACCAGGTGATCAAAAGTACGCCAAGTACTCCAAATTATACATGAGCATTACTCATGTCATTCATACATAAACATTCATGAGCATCACTCATGATAATCATACATAAACATTCATAACCATCATTCATGTCAACATTCATGAGCATCACTCATGTTAACATTCATGAGCATCACTCATGACAACATCCATGAGCATCATTCATGGCAATCAACATAAACATTCATGAGCATCACTCATGTCAATCAGCTTCAAAAGCTTCATTTACAAGAGCTCTAGCTTCAAAGACTTCATTTACAGAGCTCTAGATTCAAAAGCTTCATTTACAAAAGCTCCAGCTTCGAAAGCTTCATTTACAGAGCTCTAGCTTCAAAAGCTTCATTTACAAGAGCTCTAGCTTCAAAGACTTCATTTACAAAGCTCTAGATTCAAAAGCTTCATTTACAAAAGCTCCAGCTTCGAAAGCTTCATTTACAGAGCTCTAGCTTCAAAGCTTCACTTGCAAAGCTTCACCTACAAAGCTTCAGTGCAGGGTATACAAATACCGCCTCCGAACAACCGCCACTTCGGCCCATACATGGATTCAATTTGAAGTCTCCAGCCAACAGACTCTATTGACCGAAGACTTGGGGGACTACATTATGTACCATATATTGGGCCTCAATTGGGCCTCATGAAAAATATTTGGGGGACTTAGCCCATTATTTATGTATTAAGGAGCGAGCCCTTATTCTATAAAAGGGACTCCCTTACCTTCATTAGAGAGCAACGCCGCCAGCTGAGCAACCGCCTTGCTGCAAACATCAACTCTAGCCCATCATTTATGTATTGAGGAGCGAGCCCTTATTCTATAAAAGGGACCCCCTCACCTTCAAGCGCCACAAGCCGAGCCAACCAAGGCAATATAAGCCACAAGCCGAGCAACCTCGCAACATGTGCTACTTCTAGTTGAGCATCATTTCAGATTGGGCACCGCCTCATGTCGAGTGTCAGCACCAGACGCCATCTAGTTACTTCGGCCCACACACATGGACTGAATTTCAAGTCTCCAGCCAAAAGACTCTCTTGACTGAAGACTTAGGGGATTACTGTTTATACCATATTTAGGGCCTCGTATTTAGATCTCGTACAAATACTCAGGGGACTTAAATGTAATTATGGGATAAAGGAAGGGCAAATATGTAATAAGTGAGGAGTCCTTATTCTATAAAAGGACCCATCACCCTCACAATTAGGAAGAGGCCTCACTCTCACTCTCAGAGGCCATTTCTGAAGCCTCTCACCCCCTCTCAAAGCTTCCTCACACCCCCTAAGCTCTAAGCTCTCTCTCTCCCTCTTCAACAGAGAAATATAATACAATCAGTGTGGACGTAGCCCAAACCTTGGGGTGAACCACGATAACTCTTGTGTCATTTACATTTCTTGCAGATTCACGGTCGGATTTACGTTGTTCCAAGACCATCCGGTTTTGTGCATCAACAGAACATATAAGGTTCATTTTCTTGGTTATGTAGATCTTATAACCATCATACTTCTGATTACCCGAACTTGAAGAGCAGAATGGATCCAAATAGGTGCCTTTGCAGGGCCTTGAATAGGCCTTGAGGCTTCTCATTAAACCCCTTCCATTCTCAATGTTCTTGCCTGAGAAACAGGATGAATCCAAATAGGTGCCTTTGTGGGGCCTTAGATGTAGGCCTTGAGGCTTCCCATCAGAATTCATCCCATCCCCGAACGTTATATGGTAATCATAATATCACAGCAATAAAACTAAGTGACAGGTCAATTACTTGCGCCCCAAGTAACTTCGGACTTCTTGTTATCAAAGCTTGTAGTGGATGGGTTAAGTCCACATCAGGTTCTTTTTTATGCCTTGAGGCCAAGGACTTTTAGGGTGATCAAATCTTATATGCCCGAGGGCTTAGCACTTAAATCTGACTTGAACTGTGGAGACATATTCAAATTGGATCTAAGCACTGAGAGAATCTTTTGATAGCCATATTACTATAAATAACTTGGATATAACTTGTAGTATACAACATATTGCTAGGCTAATGAATGCACAAACAAAAACAAAGAGGGTCGGGCAAGGCTGATCGTCTTGCAAGAGGTTTGAAGGCTTAGAAAAAGGGTAGAGAGGTGAGTTTACAGGAGGAATCGATACTACAGCAAGAGTTGAGCAGGGTAGCAGAGCTATTACAAAAGGTTTATCCCGAAAGGGATGAAGGCTTGGGCTGACTACAGCTTCGTTTTGAAGGCAAATCTGGCTTTGAGCAGAGTTTGTGCTTGTATTTGTTTGTTTGAGTGTCCTTGATTCTGACCTCTCTTGCTCATTTTATAGACACCTTGGCTTGGCATCCTGTAGCAACAATCTTGCCCGAATGCAATTTGAAGGGTAGTGAATCATCAGCTATTTTACTTGTATTGCCATCTAAAAGTACTTTTTGGGCTGTATAGCTGGCTGGTCTACACCACTTGGCCTGCACCTAGTCGGGAAAAAGCCTTCCTTGTTTTCTGGTTTTGGGCTAACTTCGGGCTTTTCCTTCTCTTTTTGGGCCAACTTCGGGCTTTTCCTTCTCTTTTTGGGCCAACTTTCCCCCAAGCCCAAAATTTAAGTTTTAACCCAAACAGTTCCTTTAAAGTTATAATAATTATAGCTCATCCAAATCCTTATTTTGGCATATGAAGTATCCCGGCATATTTATTGTGGAGACCAACCCATGTCTTGGCATGCAAAAGGGTTGGATTCTAGTTAATGAATACATTGGGTCAACCCAAAACCATGGAATGGTTTCAAGTTAGGTTGCATTTTTGTTTACCTCATTCAAATTTTAAACTCATTCAACAGTAATAAATATGATGATTTTAAGTTAGGGTGCAATTTTGCTGACCCTCAAAATTTAAATTCCTAAGTTATATCATTTTCAAATAAAATAATATTGTTAAATCTTTCATAGTATGATATTGCATTATTAAATTGATTAACGTGTTTATTTTGTATTAATTATTGGTAACACATCACATAATTGAGAAATACTAAGGGGACTCTCTCAAAAGCGGCTCTCTATAAACTCTCTACCACTTCATAGTTTGTCAATTCTCGTAATATACTACAAAATATTGTGTAAAAAATACGAGGTAGCAGAGAGTCTATAGAGGATCCAATTATTTAGAGAGTCCCGCTTAGAATGACGTCCTTGGTACTTTCAAAAAGTCCCCATAAACCTTGACTAAGTATGATAAGTACAAAACAAGCCGAACCTAAAAAGATCCCTCCATCGACAACAAAATAATTTCATATCACAAAAATTTGGACTATAGTAAATAAACACTTTCGGACCTTGTTCAGAAGGGCTAAGGTATTTTTGTGTGATTTACATTTTTTTTTTCTAGGCAAGGACCTTACTTTTTATTTTTATATTATATAAGAAATGGTGTTGTAAATTATTTAATATTAATTGATTGAAAAATTGGTAGTTTTTACCGTCAATCGGTGCAATTGGTTTTGTTTTGTTGTTTCAAATTGGAGTTATATATTCGTAATCAAGACTTTGCAACAAACTGTTCATTGTTATGAGCGAAATTCTGTCATTGGGACAAAACATTACCTTAATCTCTAAGTTTGTGAGTTTTTTTTAATAACTTTACTTGTTAGTTATGTTGCTATTTGTTTTAGATAAATTTGTCGTTATAACTACTGCTACAATACTTTGATATAACATATATAATTTTGATATTTGTTGACACTACTCCAACAATATGATCGATGAGAAGTAGTAATCAAATTTAACAAACAAAGTACACATGAATAAATATTTTTAACCACCTCATCTACAATCTGATAATCTTTACTCGTAGAATGTCAAAAGTCAATTTTGGTATCTCAAATACCAAATAACTACCACATGCCACAAATACCAGTATTTACAAATTTAGAGATAATGAATCATGAGTTCATTCCACGTTTTTCAAGAGGTGAATACAATTCTCCAATTTTCTCATCCGGTTTTGACATCGACTTTTCCCATTGTTTTCTCTCACCAACCCATAAACTCTCCTCCACCTCCGACCGCCGTTAGGGTTTTGTGGTCGGACGGTGATGGACTCCGAGGACGATATGCACAACGCCAACGACGTCGAGTTCATGGAATACGACAACGGCTTCTAAAGCGACCAGGATGCCTTGGACTACTACGGCAGCGACAACGACGAGGTTGCTTGTGTGCCACTCTTATGGATGACACAACAAATTTTTTATTTTGAATTCGAAATTTCTTTGATTGAAGCCCCCTAATTGATTAGAATTACAAATAATGTATGAACAGAAATGAAAAGTTTTGCTTCAGTACAACATAAAAAGTTAAAAACTTAGTGAAAACAATTGAAGCCTGAACAATCACATGAATATTTATGCCAATCTTTCAATTTATTAAGCTCGATCAAGCTTTTATTCATCACACATTCACCAAACACATGAACATGATCGTACAAAGATCAAATTGTTAAATACAAAAAGAGAAGGTATAATCAAGATGCCCTACGTAACTCGTACGTATATATACCCATTATGGGAATATTTTTGTTCACCATCATATTTATGATGTTAGATGAGTTTAAATTTCGAGATGTAATAGATAAACACAAATCTCAACATTTACACTCATCTATTGATAATAAACAGAGTGATCCATAGCGTATGGTAGTCAAAGTGTTTCTGCAACCAAAATGTAGAAGAGACCCATGACTCCGCTGTGCATCTGAGTGCTGTTGTAAGTAGAAACTAGAGTCAGAGGCTCCGCATTTTTTATCTTGACTGAGCCTGGCCAAGGGTAACAAGTCGTCATTCCTACAATATAACCGGCCTCATTTCCTGCTTTCGTTCCATTTCCATAAATTGGTGTGGACGAACACAAAACCCTTCCGTCCTAAATTAATCACCATCACAAATTAATAATTAACAAGAATATTAGTTAACTGATTAGTTAATGACACTGTCTAATTATTAATTTGATTAACAACCAAATTAAAAGCACCTGTCCATAGAGTGTTGAACCAAGCCCCCCTTTGTGCTGATGAGCTACACCATAGATGACATAACCACCAGTTGGAATTGAAATCTTTGCCCATTTGTTGTCTAAGCAAACACCAGTTGCATTGCAAGACTTTGCAACATCATATTCGACCTGTACAACATATATATATATATATATATATAGATATTGGATCGTAAATGAAGTATAACCATAAAAAAAAATGCAACGAACATGCTAACTTTTTGTTACTAGACTTACATATGCTGTCAGATTGCAAATATGAACCACACATACTAGCACAAATTAACACTTAATCAGCATAATAAAGACCAAATTCACAGTCTAACAACATATCTAACGTTAATTCCTTGATAAATTTAGCAACATAAACAATATAGAGACAAACTATATTTGACAAGAGAACAAATTGTCGTATATATAACGACATATCATAGGATGTTATGCATAATTTTTTTTTAAGTTCATTAATTAATTACCTGGCAATTGTGTTTAGCTGCAGCAGGTGCCGAAGAATTCATGATATCAGTGGCATCAAAGATATAAATCTTGGCAGGCAGAAGAAACTCAGACCAGTCAACCCACTTCACAGTATATCTCAAGTAGTGGTTTTTCTTTTCACCATCAAACCCTCGTTTCAGTCTGCACTTTGCACCATCAGTGCAACACAACAAACCCCCGGTGTACCCAGCCGGCAGAGGTTGGCCACTTGGATCCCTAGACACGTTATACAAATCACACCTGCACTCCGTGCAACCCAAGTTATCTTCCACTCCTCTTGTATCAATTGCATGCACGTTGAGCATCCATCTCTCTTCAAACCCATCAGGAAGTCCTTTACCATCCCCAACTTCAATTGCATAACGGCCTGGAACATGTGTGGCTGTCTTCCGTGTTTCGGACCCTAGCCCGTAATATTGTCCAAGAGAACCAGGCTGGCACGCGCCACTGTTCTCCACCCAAATAACATCTGATTCCGAGAGCTGATAGGGAGACTGCTGCTTTGGCTCCACGTAACTTTTGCGAGCGTAATATCTTAATACAACCCAGTGATGGAGGTAGGTTTCATTTAGAGGAGTGGATCTCCCTTCTGCATCAACTACTTCAGCATTGAAACTCTTTAGGCCAATGTGACCTTTTGGGAATTGAATGTTGTAGAAGTATTTGTTGGAACTTACTCCTGGTTCCAATACAAACTTAGGGGAGAGGTAAACGTCAGTCTTGGTCTTAAATTTCTTGTGTTTCAGATATGCTTGTGAACATGGAGTGCTCAATGCCAATACTAGCACGGCTAACAAAAATACCCAACCTTGGGAACAACGTGCCATTTTCCTGCTAATAACAAGATAGTAACCTCTAGTTAAACCAAATACTCACACAACAAAGCTTAATGGATCTCTTATGGACAATACTTTCCTCTTTATGTTAGGACGAAAGTCTTCCTTCCATGCGAACGTGACCCCCTTTTATCATATACATATCATAATCGGAACAGTTTATTCTCTATATTCGACACATATATATATAGATGACTAAACGATCTTCAACTCAAATCATGAATTTTTTTTCTTCTAAATATGATCCTTAGATGATGATAAAACGGTTCAAATTACGACATTTATACGCTAAAATAATATCATGTTCTAACATGGGGATTAATGACAGAGCTCAGTTTTATGAAGTCAATTTTATTTGTCCAATTAAATAGCATTGTTGATAAGTACAACTTTCCTCAACTTAACGAACAAGAAAGACCTAAACAAGAAAAACCCAAGACTTAGTGTAATTGGTAAACTGTTCCACCTTAACTGAATCTAAAAACCCCATAAAAATGAAAGCATGAGAGAATTAAAAGATTAAAAGTAGACAGCGTACTCCGAAATGGAAGTCTGGAAGAGGAAGCTATCAGGCTCTCAGCCACCGCAAGAGTATGAGTTTCTTCTTTTGGTGGTCAGCAGCAAGAGTCTGAGTTGAAGACAAGCGCCGTGGTAGATATAAATCCAACACCTACCCATCCTATATATACACACATATATGTAACCATGTCAAACATAAATATTGAAAATAAAACTGGTCAATGTGTACGTGTACTTTTCACTGGTCATCGCCAAAAGCATTGAATTCGATCCATAGATACTGAGGAAGGGTTATATCGCAGGCGTTTCTGTCCCTTCAGAAAAGCGAATAGTCGTAAATGGTGTAACTTCAGAAAAGTCAGAGAGTTAGATAGTTTTCTTTCTGCCCAAGCCAAAGAGGGACAAAATGGTTAGAGTAAGGGTGGTGCTATCCACACACCCGTTTTTACCTCTCACTCACATCTCTTAATTTTCAGTCATGAGATTAAGTAGGAACCATCCCCACACATCCAAAGCGAGTTATTCAATTGCCACCTAATCTCCTCATTGGCCAATGTTACGTCCTGTAACGCTATTGGGTAAAAAGGTCGTTGTGTGAGAATGAATTGAAGAAAATGAAAGGACAAAAACTAACAAAGATGTGTGTGAGGCAAAAATGACTGTAAATATCACTATCCTAGATTAATAATTGGCCTCAGCCATGACGATACTAATTAAGAACCTTAAATTTGGATCGGCAATTCAAACCTTTCAGAATAAAAGATTGCAACTTGACGCGGCTATTGTGAGGGGTGAATGAAGCCGGGCTTTTGTGCGGGATGTCGATTAAGATTATTTCGATGATATTTGAGGTTATGGAAAAGAAATATTTGTTCAAGTCAATTTTCTTTCTTTTTGTCCAAGTTTCTTCCCTTTTGTCTAAATTACTTCCTTTTAAGTTTATCATTCATAGGTCTAAGATCCACATATCTATGAAATTTTGTTACAAATGATAACGTTAGTAAATAGGGACGGGGATCTATCGACGCCATGATGCATATGTATGATTGTTTTCCGTCATTGCGATAAAGCATCATATGCATCTATGAATTGAAATGTAAGTAGTTTGACAAAAACAACAAAGTTGGTTGTTAGAATCAAGAGGTTTTAAATTGTTCATAGCCTTCTGATTGATCAAAATGTTTAAGATCGATATTGATTCCATGGTACAAATGCATGGAAATAACCCATCAAACAAATTACACCCGAAAGGGAACTAGTTGCGTGTAGCTTTTGAATTTTGATTACAAAACTACAAAAGTCAACTACCATATATATTTATAATATCTTGGGGCAACGTTGTTTCTATGAAAATTTCATAAAAGTCGAACCAATCTAGAAGGGATTGTAGGCATCATAGTTTAAATTTTAAAGAGGTCTCTTTCACTTGATAATCTTCAACTAGTATTTATTTTTTAATTACTCATTTTTTAATTTTTAACCAAACTTGAAAACTCATTTGGTAACTGTTGGAGTAGTAATCTATACAAGGAACAATATTACCAGCAAACCAAAGGAATGCATGTGTCTTGCGACAATGTCGCTTTCTTTAAGACGTTTCAGGTTCTGCCTAAGTTGTGCATGCAAATTCAATGCCTCGCCATCCTCAGGATAAAACAGCATAGAATTCCCTCTGTCTAGACCCTCCCTTGCAAAAAGGAAGATCAGAAAACATTCACCCTCTTTGTTACTTAGAAAACCCAAGTATTCGCAGCAAATGTTTCTTAGTTTTTTCTGTGTGAAACACTAACGTAAAAAGCCAAAAACTTTTTAACTAGGGGTGGGCGCGGGCCGAGTCGGACCCAAAATTGAAGGAATCGGACGGACCCGTTCGTAAATATAACGGGGCGGGATGGGTTTTGGATTTTTCAAAATGAAATTCAGACCTAACCTAGCCCTTTTGAAACGGGCCGGATCCTAGGGTTTCTGAATCCAAGCAATTTCAATCAATTCCCCTGTGCTTTCCTCTTCCTTCTCTTTGACCAAAAGGTCCTGCAAATAGGGGAAAAAAAAAAAAAAAATCATTGAATATAATTTCAAGTCCCAAATAAAACATAAAATTTCAAGTTCACAAAACCTAAATAATCCCAATAAAAACCCTTGCAGCAGAAACTTAGTCGACCTCGTCGATCTTGGGACCTGGGTCGCTGGCACTGGAAGAGCATCATCATCAATTAGCCGGCACCATCGCCAACAGCTACCAGGTTCACCTTGTGATTGGGTTGCAGATGCTCTCCAACTCCATTTGTCTTCGAACTCATTGGCATCTGACAACTGGTTGTCGTCCAACCACTGGATGGCAGTCTCTCGATTGAGTACTCGATCTTCTTCTTGTCGGCCGGCAGCTTGCTCCAATCTTCTTGTCCTTAATGGAGTATGGGTCGTGGGTCTTTTGGGATGGAGAAGAAGAGGGTCTGAGTGAAGAAAAAACAAAAGTGAAATGAGTGAAAAAAATAAAACAAATATAAAGAAAGAAAGAAAACAAAAGTACTACAAGTACTGGTGTACTACACAAAACAAATGTAGTACTTGGACTTTTGGACCGGGAAACTGAGTGGGATTGGGAGAAATGGTTCCGGCGGGGCCCTGTTTCTTGGGACTTTTGGACCCGCCCCGTCCTGTTTGTGTTCTACAATTTTCAGACCCGTTCCGTATCCACCCCGAACCACATGGACCTGACCCGCCCCGTGAGTCTAGTATCCGTTTGCCCACCCTTAGTTTTAACGTTGGAAAGTTGAGTGATAAGTGGCCAAGAATCAGGCCACCAAATCAGGAACAAATCAAAATAGTTGAGGAAGAATAGGTCTCCCACTTGAAACAATATCTTAGCTGATGAAGCAAATATTTTCTCCTAAAAATTAGGAAGCCAACATCTTCCTCAAAACTGAAACATTAAAGCTAAGTTTTTTTTTTTTTTTTTTTTTTTTAAATAAACACAATATCCCAACACTCCCCACTTGTTTATTTGAAAACAAACTCGTTTTTAAGTAACATATAATAGATTTGTGCATCAATAAAGGTGTTGATACGACTTAAATCATTACATAGTGACATTACTTCAGAACAACAAGAGTAACACTTGGTCCTGAACTCTACCTCTGATAGCAAAGCACACACAAACCTTCTTGGATGATGTTCGAAGCCAGCACCATTCGCCTTGTGCTTGTATCCCAGTAAAGGTGATGTCCTATAACGCCGTTGGGTAAAATGCTCATTGTGTGAGAATGGATTAAAGAAAATTAATGGACAAAAACTAACAAAGGTGTCCGTGAAGCAAAAATTAAGTGAAAATATCACTATCCTAAATTAATAATTGGCCTCGGCCATGACGATACTAATTAAGAACCTTAAAAACTAAGAAAATATGACTGCATTTAGTTTAATCTTAAGATTATTAATTTGGATCGACAATTCAAACATTTCAGAATAAAAATTGCAACTCGACGCGGTTATAGTGAGGGGTGAATGGTGCCGGGCTTATGTGCGGGATGTCAATTAAGTATTATTTCGATGATTTGAGGTTGTGGACAAGAAAGATTTGTTCAAGTCAATTTCTTTTTTTTTGTCCAAGTTTCTTCCCTTTTGTCTAAATTACTTCCTTTTATAGATCTAAGATCCACATACCTATGAAATTTTGTTACAAACGATAACGTTAGTGAAATAAATAGTTTTTCGTCACTACGATAAAACGTCATATACATCTATGAATTGGAATGTAAGTAGTTTGACAAAAACAATATAATTAGTTGTTAGAATCAAGAGGTTTTAAATTGTTCATAGCCTTCTGGTTGATCAAAATGTTTAAGATGGATATTGACTCCATGGTACAAATGCTTGGAAATAACCCATCACACAAATGTTGGAGCAATATTAGAAAATATGAAAATAGCAATATAATTCCAATGATAATAATCATAAAGAAATTCACAACATCAATTATATATGAGATTAATATAAACTACTAGAGTGAAAGTTAGAATAACTGACAAACTTGGAGATTGAGGCTTGCATAAATGCAATGTCCTAAAGATAGAATTTCGCCCTTACTATTGTGCTTGTAGTTCAATAGGCGTCCATCTCCCAGGATTCAACAATCTATAATCCGAAGTCAAAGCACTTCAATCTTCGAACTCTGGCGAACTTTATATATTCCGTACTCTCAAGACACGACTCGGAATTTGACACACGAATCATTTGAGAAACAAAGTTGGGGAAGCCCTATTTCTCAAGAGAGTAACAATTAACTCTATTTTTCTATATTTAATGATAATGGTTTCATGAGTTTATATAGAACCCAAGTACTTTTTGTTAAGGAGATATAACTTTTCATCTATAAGTATACATCACTTATCAAGAGAATACACCTAAACAACATAACCTTTCTAAGAAATTGGTTAACACTATTTTTCATTCAATTATTAAAATTATATATTACAATATTTCATATTATAATATATAATTTCCAACAATCCCCCACATGAATGAAAAATCAGGAAGAATTTGAGAGTACAGGTGGACAAGAGATGCATCGGGAGAGGTGTCTTTTGGACTTGAACCTACCCTAGTGAATACTTATCGGGTTTACTTGGTGACGCAGTGGATGTAGAAGATCTTGAACTGTTCACCGCAGCAGTAAACCAAGACAATAAGCAACACACATCACTAATCCTAATATATTCTGGTTCATACGGTTGTGTTCATTTTGGTCCTGAACAAATCCCGGATTCATGAGAGCTTTAGAGAATTTAGCAATCTCATACTCATAGAAGCGACCCACTTCTACTCTCACATAGGTGACCACTGATTAAGAATAGTCTGCTCTATTCCTCTTATTTATAAGATATCACTGTCATTAAGTATAAATATACAACCTAAAACTTCAGCAGACAACACACTTCTTCTATCATAGGAATGAGGTATGTAGTGTGTTAACTTCTTTGAATCATGCCCAACTAGTTTGCCTATGGAACTTAGACCATGGGATCTCCAATCAACTAAGTTAGGTTTCCGCCCGGCTGATTCATTAGTTATGTTGGCTTCCCCTCGATGATCAACTTACTCTCTAGTCTAACCTTTAATAATGGGATCCACTACTAGGTTGACTATCTTTAATAGTGTGCACAATCCATCTTATGAAATTATTTCATATGAGAGTAGTTGTTTGACATTGTTTGAAATGTCAAGTCCTCAAAATTATATTAGGACTTAATTACTATGTAATTTGCTAGGAAATAGACTTCCCCCACATTTAAGGTATTTGAAAGAAGGTCTCTAACCTCTTCACACCTTAAAACTCATTCATAATAAGAGAATATTATCTCTCTTACATGCAAATTACTCCTAATTTGTTCTTTGCCTTATTCGCAAACCATCATAATACATGCATAAGATTATCCCATACAACATTTTGAAGCCAATATGCTTCCTATCCGGATTGTAATGTACTTTCATTTGAGGATTTCTTTATTTAAATGCATGTATTTTCACCTATGTACTTTGCCTTCACATTGTCAAAGATTCAATTAGTTAGTATTATTGAATTCATCTAGTACATATGGATGCTCTTAACTATGAATAACACAACCCAATGGCTATGTACATTCGATTTATATGCTTACTTAATAAGCATCATCTTGTCTAATTCAATTATGTATGCTTACTCAATAAGCATCAATTTCAGTGCCTCATCATTCCTTTTACGAAGACCCCCACACTTTCAGTGTATAATTCTTTGCAAAGGAATTAGCTTTGGTTTTATCCATGACTACCATGGCTTCTGAGTAAAACTCATTTTTTGTAGTTGCCTTTACACGTTACTCCTCTTTCAGGAAGTACTCATCATTCTATAGATGTTAACTCAATTAAATGAGTTTGCAGAGCATACAACCTTAACGTCGTATCAGACTTCCAGGTTCTTATGTTTGTAGATGCCAAGCCACAACATTAAAGATTGCATCATGATCGGGTAATTAATAGAGAAACAAAACTAACCGTTTAAGTTTCTCTGTCATTGCCTTCGATCCTTCTTACATCCACAAGTTCTTTTGGCATTATATACTGACATAAGGAATTTATTTTCTTTCCCGAAGAAAGAGCTTCGCATAGGGATTATATAGATGTAATTCTTTTCTGCAAAAGAAATTTTCCAGAAACTGCTACGATCTTTGGCAAAACCAAATCTAGCATCGTTTTAGCATTGCAGATAAAGCAATTTTTTATTTTATTTTTTTATATCCCTTGCCTTTGCCTTAACCGACACCTCTTTTTGAAAGAAAGAGTCAACACCTAACACGGTTTTGAATGGATATCTCACAAATTGTTATTGATTCTGCCCAAATAGTAAACTCATTCTTACGTACACGACCATAAGGGTTGCAATCCTTATAAATACTCAAGAAGAATACTTTAATCACATAAATATATGCCCAGTTATTGAGATGCATCATGGTCGTATGAATAAATCAATCCACATATATAACTCACATTTGGTCGAATGGGAATGAACGCCCAGGCATGTAGAAAATTAATATTAATCTTTGAAATTAAGAAATTTATCCATAAGACATATCACACAAGTCATGCAATTCATGCTTTTAAGATAACTTGCAAACACATATAGACGTAAGCATGCATATACATACCAGTGATCTAAATCACCCAAACAAACTGCTCATGTCTTTTCATCAAGTGATGCATTGCCCAGAAAGTTATAATTTTAAATTTCATCTTTTCAAAAAGAAACAAGCGGTTTATTGACACCGCTCCACATGGATAATACCACAACATCATCCAACCCAATCATCAAGACTAAATCAGAGATTGAAGTCTTAATTGCATCAATTCTAGGCTTCACATCAAATATAACACCACATGTTGTCCAAGACTTTTAAAGTCACAGATTGAATCAACAAGCAAACATTGCTCATGTGCATATATAGATGAATATTTGAATTGTATCATGCATTTAACAATACAATTTGAACGCCAACATCAAAGATTATGTTATATATCAATAAGCAAATAAAAATCAGTCCCTCCAAGACATGCCTTTTTTCCATATAAATCCGTAGTGTCTTTGACTTAGGGTTTAGGGTTATTACTTTCAATGTTCTTAACATCTTCTTCACATTCATATTTACTAATTATTGCATAAGTAAATTTCTATCTTTAGAATGTTGGAGCAATATTAGAAAATATGAAAAATAGCAATATAATTCCAATGATAATAATCATAAAGAAATTCACAACATCAATTATATATGAGATTAATATAAACTACTAGAGTGAAAGTTAGAATAACTGACAAACTTGGAGATTGAGGCTTTGTTTGGACCCATTTTTACAATATCGGCCCGAGCAATCAAGGCCGTCGGATGAGCAGGGTTTTAGGCCGTTGAACGACAAAGTGGTTGAAATAAATTATGATTGAGATAATGTTGGGATTTTAATCATAATTTATTAAACCTAGTTTTTATCTAAAACCCCAATTTATTCGTAGGATGGTGGGGCATTAGAATCCTAATGCATTACTGATTATTGGCGAATGGTTATGGATTGGTATGGATTTTTGCGCATGCATAAAGATAAGGATGCCAATTTGGATTTAATCAGCCGCATGATTGGCGTTGGTCAGCCATACATGCATATTATTGGCATATTTCAAGGCGGGAAGCTTATTGG